TGCCCCTTGTCCTGTTGCTGGGCACCACTGAAAAGAGCTTGGCCCCATCCTCCTGACACCCACCCTTCAGATATTTGTAGGCATTTATAAGGTCCCCTCGCAGCCTTCTCTTCTTCAGGCTGAACAAGCCCAGTTCCCTCAACCTCTCCTCGTAGTGGAGATGCTCCAGTCCCCTCACCATCCTTGTAGCCCTCCGCTGGACTCTCTCCAGTAGCTCTTCATCCTTCTTGAACTGGGGAGCCCAGAACTGGACACAGTACTCCAGATGAGGCCTCACCAGGGTAGTGTAGAGGGGAAGGAGAACCTCCCTTGTCCTGCTGGCCACACTCTTCTTGATGCACCCCAGGATCCCATTGGCTTTCTTGGCAGCCAGGGCACACTGCTGGCTCATGGTTAACCTGTCGTCCACCAGGACACCCAGGTCCCTCTCTGCTCTCCAGCAGGTCCACCCCAAGCCTGTACTGGTGCATGAGGTTGTTCCTCCCCAGGTGCAGGACCCTGCACTTGCCCTTGTTGAACCTCATCAGGTTCCTCTCTGCCCAGCTTTCCAGCCTATCCAGGTCACGCTGAATGGCAGCACAGCCTTCTGGTGTATCTACCACACCTCCCAGTTTGGTGTTGTCAGCAAACTTGCTGAGGGTACATTCTAACTCTTCATCCAGGTCGTTGATGAAGAAGTTAAACAAGACTGGGCCCAGTACTGACCCCTGAGGGACACCACTTGTCATCAGCCTCCAACTAGACTCAGCGCTGCTGATGACAACCCTCTGAGTTCTGCCATTCAGCCAGTTCTCTATCCACTTCACCGACCACTCATCCAGCCCACACTTCCTCAGCTTCCCTAGGAGTATATCATGGGAGACTGTGTCGAAAGCCTTGCTGAAGTCAAGGTAGATAACATCCACGGCTCTCCCTTCGTCTACCCAGCCAGTCATGTCATCGTAGAAAGCTATCAGATTGGTCAGGCATGATTTCCCCTTGGTGAATCCATGCTGACTACTCCTGATAACCTTCTTTTCTTCCACTTGCTTCATGATGGCCTCCACGCGTCTCAACACCCCGTTCAGTTCCAAGGAGGGTTACAAACGCCCAAAACCAAGACAGGAGAGCTCAGCGAGTCCCCCCCAGCCCTGGCTGTCGGGCATAGAGGCTCCCTCTTCCCAATGTCATGCCCCTGCCCTCAGCTGCGTTAACGCGTATCACTCACTCAGCTGGCAGGCACCAAGTGCGGGGAAATATATTGTACTCCTCGGGGAAGAGCCTGAGCATGCGGTTCAGGTTGCGAGCCAACAGGTCCTTACGGCAGATCTCTATCATGCCTGGAAAATGGTTGATTTTCTGAAAGAGGTGCAGATGAGAAACAGAATCAGCGAAGGAACAGCAGGGATCCTCCTCGAGACCCGAGGAAAGCCCCTGTGCCGGCACGCAGAACAGGAAGCTGGGCCCGTGGTTGCCTTGAACGTCTGCTGAGGGACAAGATTACGCTACCACTGCTCTGTCTGAGTGTCAGCAGCGTGATTTATCTGCTCGTCCCATCTCGGCCCTGAAGCTCTCCCTCCCTAGCACATCACCGCTTCAGGAAGGGAGCCGTTTGTCATCGAGAACCATTTATTTCACGCTACATTAAAGGGGTTGGCGGCCTTCCAGTTCACGCTACTAACTGCCAGAGTGTTGCTGCTGGCACCATACCAGCGACACAACAGCAGTAAAGGCTTGTGAACCCCGCGCCCTCTGGGACTGCTGCAGAGAAGGGGGCAGGGCACTAGCTTGGACGCTTCTGTTCCACTCACAGCACGTTGTCCCACGGACAGCCCCCGTCTCGCCCTCCTCCCCGAGCTCTTCCTGCTGGGCAGCCTTTACACGGAGATATTTACCTGAAACCGCTTCATCTCCATGACGCGCTCCAGGGAGACCGAGTGGTCCGTCCAATACAATGTCCACTCCTCGTTCTCTCCTGCTTCCTTCAGCCCGCAGCACCGCGCTGCCCGCCGCACTGTACCAAAGCAAGCAGACGACAGGAGGCCATGCAGAGCGTGTACATACTAGGGCCAGTCGAATCCCAGAGTAACCAAGGACGGAGCATGGAGCAAAGCTCTCCAGGCTGCAGTTCCACTCTCAGAGACGCAAGATACCGCCAGGGCACTTCGGGAGGTGTCACAACCACATGCTCCACCCAGCTAAACTCACCCCAGCCGCCCCCTGCCCCGCGGGGGGAGCGGCGCAAGCAGACGGGAGATGTCCAGGGAGGGGCACTGTCTGCAGGGCAGAGTTCACCTAAAGACTTATTTTTTCACGGCCATCCCTTCGGTCCCGCTTTGCTGCGCGTGCGCACAGTCCGGGCCCGGCGGTCGGAAGATGCCGCGCTGTACGGAAAGGTGGGCCCTCTCCGGACAGCCAATAGCGTTCAGCCCATGACGTAACGGACGGAAGTGACGCTGTAAACCGAGACTATATAAGGCTGCGCTACCCACCAATAAACGCCATTTGCCGCCCACCACATTGGTGTCTGCGAGCCGATGGACCGGGCGGC